AGGGTCGATCTTGATACATCCCTAGGATGGCTTGAAACCAAAATCAAATCAAATTGTTGGCTCAAAATTCACTCTATCTGATTCTAAACAGAGGAGATCTTGGATTAATCCATCAATAGTTCTCCTGTGTATGCTTGTCCTATTTTCTACCAGTGCATGGCAATTATTACTTGATTGTATGAATAGAATGGAGGCAGTTTTGTGCTTGTGGGTCAGAAAGACATCAAAATTGTGTTCATAAAACCCAATGGAAGCAAAAGATCATAATAAATAAACTTGATTTGACAAGAAAATTAGCTTTACATGGTATATAACTTCTCAAAATATAAACTACAAAATTGTTCAGGGTTAAATGTAACAGCTACTAAAACTATAATATCATTGAATCATGTTGTTGGCCAGCTTCCAGTAATATATAAAGACAAATATGAAGCATGATAGTGCAAAAAACCCAAGAAGATAACACTTACATAATGAAGCATATCAGTGTTCAGAGTGCAAAGCCCATGATCAAGTGAAGCTTTTAAACATGATGGTGTCCTTTTCAACTCTAGCCCTTTTCTAGCCCCTATAACAACTGAGTCATGGAAATTGAATTGAACTGCTGGAGAAGTGGAAGGCCCAGGAGAATGACAGTTCAGAATAGATGGAGAACGAATTGTCTTTGGTATATCTCCAGATTGATGCAAAGATTGACAAGCTTGTGGACAAGCAAAGGCCTCCCTAGCAGCCATGTGAGGAAGTTCTTTGGGAACACAATGATGATCATTTTCTGCAGATTGAACATCTATAACCCGTGATTGAATTATCTTCGTTAATTTGTTGCATTCATCCCTGGTAGAAAATATACAATAAACATCCAAAAAATTTAAAGAATGAATGCAATAATTAAGATGGAAACTAGAGGTCCACATGTTCAATTATTGCAACAGAAGACAGACACCAAAATTAACCATGACCCATTTGACAATGACATTTCTATTAAATTTTGTAATAGCATTTTAGTTCTCTCTAAAGTTTTTGATGCAGAAAATTTCAAATTCAGTACTAATTCCCCATGATACTGCCATGCCTTCAGGTAGAGCAGAAAAGCTCTGTTACCATATCCTGTCTTTCTTCTCTAGTATTGAAAGGTAGAGCAGAAAAACCCTCTCATTCAATAAAAAGTTCAGTTTCCTGAAGTTTAGAAATGAAACAAAAACACAAACAAATGTATATTCTGTTTTCTGAAAGACAAAAAAAAGTCATAATTCCTAAATGTCCCCGACAAGCCATGTTGTAGTTGGATTTTTTTTTTCATTAAAAAGACAACCTCGTGCATGAGAGGTAATGGCATGCTTTCTTCACAAAATTCTAATCCATATTCAATCAAATACTAGCAAAAAATGCAATAAGTCTGGTGCCTTTTTTTCGCTTCATACACTTCAAATAAAAACTCAAACACAGGTCTATAATAACAAAAGAAACCTAGGAATGTCGAGGCCATAAATTGATGAAGGAAGTAATTTTAAAAAAATGATATTTCTAAGGGGATATATAAAAGGTAAGATAAATCTATACTAAATAAAACAAACAGAAACATCAATATTCTAATCACCTTGTAAATGTTTCTCTCAATAGCAACTGCTCTATAGCAGATTTAGCCTCAATTTCTGTGATGATAGATATTGATCCTTCCAGCCAGTCATTTACCATCTTTGATGTTTTCGTTTTCTGACCATATACAGAGAAGACATCTCAATATTTACCAGCATTCTTTACGAGGCTTTTGAATCAATATTAATATTTACCTTGCTTAACTTATGTCCTTCACAAGCCCGAATAGTATCTTCCTCTTCACCTGCAGAATTAATTCAAGAACTCAGATATAAGGTATAACAACATAAATTTGTAATAAAGGTGAAATTAAAAAGCTGTTGATAAATTGTTTGATAGTAACCTACAAAACATCGACAATAGCAAAATACGATTAAATAGTTCCATTATATTATTCAATCAAGTAGAGACAGTTAAAACATAAAATCAACCACTCAGCTTCAAACCAGCCAAAGTAGAGATTAGGGAACACTTTTTACTTATAAATATTCACAACTCCAAGCTATCTCATTTTGGCTAGAATCAGAGGCAGCCTATATTACATGACAGAAGAATATAATTATGATGATGGAAGCATTGTATAACCCCTTTGTTTTGTGCAACCTAAGACAGGCAAAGCTTCTGATAAACACATCACAACCACCACTGCGTGCATTAGGACCAAAAAACGGAGGTAAAGAGATAAAATTGGTCCAATTCCTTTGACAAGATTTTAAACGAGACAAAAAAAAAAATCCAGAAATAATAATACAATAAAACTAAAAAGAACACAATATGATATGAATTATGAATACCAAAAGAATTTCAAACTAAAACAAATTATACATATTGTAAAAAAGAAAAAAAGTCTCCTTTTTCTTTTTGAAGATTCCGGTAGATGCATGCATATTTCTTTTGCTAATAATCTATGATACGCCTGTAACAGTTGTTAATTTTAGGAATTCGATGTACCCAATGGCAAGAAATAGACCTAAAGGAACCAAAAGAACAGATAATGGAGGAGCTCACTCGAATTGCTATCTGTGCCCTCCTCCGACGAATAGAAGGACGATGAGGAAGACGGGGCGGAATCAGGACCCAAGACAGCGGAGACAAGTTTCCCCGCCCCAGAGACGAGGCTCGACAACCACCCGTCACCATCACCGGACTGGGCGGCCGGTTCCTCCGCTAGGTGGCCGGGAGAGGCCGGCGACGACGCCGCCCGCCAGCCGCGGCGACGCTTGAAGAGCGAGGCCATAGGCGAAGAGAGAACGAGGGAGGGGAACGGAATCGAATGGAGAGGGCGGGAGAAGGGTAGGTAATAACGGGAAAGCCGCCAGGATGCTGTCCTCCACCTTCGCACGCCCTTCAATTATGGCGGGGTGACAGTTGTAGGGAGTCACGGTCCTATCACGTGACAAATTACTTGTGACTCCCACGTGATGAGGCGACCTCGGCTTATGCACGCAAACAATTAAAAATACATGCCTCAAATACTTAGAAAAATTAGATTAAGAAAAAAAAGAAAGGAACTGACTTCGATAATTTATTCCATAAATTCCTCCTAATAATATAAAATTTTATTAGATATTCTCAACATGCTTTTAGTAGATTTTATTATATAACTAGTTTATAACGACGATTTCATATCTTATACCATAAAGTATGAAAGATATATCTAAATATAATTGATATTATGATTTAATATCGAAGGAAGAATATAACTGTTGATATCGAAGTAAGAGTGTTATAATATCAAACTAATTTAAATATTAGAGAATATTTTGTTGAGAATATTCGACCTAAAGAACTCTAGTCCGTATAGTGATAGACACGAAATAAACCTTATGAATCCAAATCAATATCTAAGTCGGAAAACTTCAAATTAAGATAAAAATAAATAGAAAGGTCAAGAAGTCGATTCAAACTATAACAAATTAATAAGATAAAATTAAGGAATTAGAATTAATGGATGCTTTGATTAAAAAAGAACTGATATAATTTGTTTCTAATAAATTAAGTGGATACAAGCATGATTCGATCAATACCCCAGCATGCATCAGCTTAAAAGTGGGGAAAGAACAAAATAACGAGTCGCTTTAAGCGCATTAGATATCATAGCCAAAATCTCAGAAGCCATTACATTACATAGCCTTCACTTTATCAGTATCAGCTGCAGCAGCTAAAGAAAGACGGATGCGGGATCTGTCGAAGTAGGGATCCTGGACGTGAAAAAGATCCTACACTGGCGGCTGCAACAACGGAATGGGAAAGAATTTTATATAATCTGTTGATTCTGCTTTATAATTTGCTACTTTGCTTTAAACTATCACCACCGCATTCTTTGATTTTGATAGAGTAGGCTGTTAAGAAGATTAGAGCCTAGGCTTTAAGTTTTTAAGAAGATTTTTTGAAAAATACGCTTTTAAGAAGATTAGAGTATCACTACGGTCGTTCTTTCAATAGAGTATTTTTTATTTTGATAGTTTGGGATTTAAAGTGTTTTTGAAAAATTATAAATTAATATTTTATTTTTTTAAATAAGATTAGATAGAGTTTTCTGGATAAAAAAATTTTAATTTAAAATATATTTTAGAAGATTTCAAATAAGATTAGATATAGTTATAGAGATTACATGGTCTTGTATTTCACATCTATAAATATGTGTTGATAAATTCAAGTCTCAACTATTCAAATCAAGTCTAAAAATCAATAAAGATTTGTAACCTTTTTTCTTTTTGAGAAGTGCAAGAAACTTTTTCTTTACTGTCTTAGTTTTTTTTTTATTTAGTTTAATCTTGGGCTAATAGTACTTTATTATTACTATTTGAAAAAAGATTATAGTTACATGTGATCCTCCCTTTCTTCACATGGTAATTTATATTTTAAAATCACTTTGGTGAAGAAAATAATATTTTTTAATTATAAAAATTATAGTCGAATAGGTGGGCATAGTATTGAACTTCTCAATCAGTCTAACTATAAGATTTGAAAGACTTATTTAAAATCTTATCTCACAGGGAAAGATCTATGGGATATGGTTGATGATAATACAATAACAGCACCATATGCTGCAAATGGAGATGGACTTTAAATGCAAAGGTTGAATTTATATTAAAGAGATATATTTGTCATGATCTCTTTAAACATATTATTCTTTGTAAATTAGTCTTATAGATTTAGATCACTCTTAATGCATTGCTCAATAAAAAGAATATTACTTGACTTCAATATTTAGACAATGATTTAGCAAATACTATTCAAGGTAATCTCTCAATTTCTCATTATTTTTTTAAGATTAAAAATTTATATTCAGAGATATCACTCTTAGATCCGGATGAGCCTATTTCTGATGTACAAATGAAAAGTTATATTATTTGTGGTCTTCAAAAATAATATATTCCTTATGTTACATCTATTTAAGGATGGGTTCAACAACCATCCTTAGTAGAGTTGAAAAATCTTCATACATCTTAGGAATCCCTAGCTCGTCAAATGACGGGAGCTTCAATTTTGGAGGAAATGAAGATGCCCCATTTACAAATAAGAAAAAGGGTAATGATAATGATAAAGAAACTGATAGCAATCAAGAGTCTTCTTCGAACAATGGTACAAATCAAAAGAAGATCAAGTGTAACAGGTGTGGTAAGTTAGGCCATATCAAGAAAAATTATCATGTGAAGATTAAAGGTAGAAATATTGCAATGGTACCGATAAAGATTTAGGCAAATGTTTTATACTTGAAACTACTAAGGCCATGACATCTATCAATTTTGAAAATAACTAGATTGTTGATTTAGGATTCGGTCATCATCTCATTGGTGATGAGACGAAATTCACCAATCTTCATTAATATGAAAGTAATGATGCAGATGTCATGATGGAAAATAATGTTCAACAAGTGAAAAAGGAAGACACTATCATAATCTCAAATAAAGACAATGATCCTGAAGAGTGTGTATCATGTTAAATGTACGAATAAGAACCTTTCTCTATTGCAAATACAGTTGATATTAAAAATTATGTTCTTTTTGGTTTTCATGAAATCAAGTTTTTTTACAATATAAAAGAATTAAATATATAGAGTATATATTGTTAAAAGGGTCATTGATTTATATATTTTATCAACATTAGCCTATTATGTTGATAAGATGAGTAAAAATAATAGTGCATCAATCTAGCATGATAGATTTAATCATATAATTTTTTAAAAATTAAAGATTATAATGTAAAAAAATCTAATTGAATGGTCTTTCCAATCTTATAACTTTTAATAGTAATAAAGTTTTGAAGGTTGTAAATATGGCAAAGCATACAAGCAACCTTTTGAGATATCACTCTTAAGAAATAAATACGAGTCAAAGGTGCCTTATAAGCCAATCACACGAATGATTACACATTTAACATGATATGCATTCTTTTTTACTTATTATTTTTGATATTTTTCATTTTATATTACTTGTTATACACACAC